AAATCCTTTAAAGGGATAAAAAATAATAGTTTGATTTATTCACCTATAATGCAAATGTGAACTCCAAATTTTGGCGTAAACCGATTTCAACATAAGCCGCCACAATAACATTAAAAATGAAAAAAAGAAGATTCATAAATCAGTAAGAAAATTATATAATAATTACCCTCTGCTTAACATTTTTTCCCAGCTTCTCAACACATTGGTATAATTTCATTTCAATCAAATTATCAAATTTTGGAGTAGTACATTTGTCAAAAAATCCATAATTCGGATTTTGAGAAAAATAAACAAAGGAATTTTTTATACGTGATAAGTGTTTATCAAGTAAAAAAAAATCTAATTTAAGAAATATGCATTGTTATATATATTTGACAACAAAAATATAGATATAAAAAGAAAAAAATGTATGTACCAGCAGGTGGATCATAAAGGATTGTTTCGAGAAGTTCAAATTCTATGGAATTCATAAGTAAAAAACGATAATATAAAAAAAAAAAAAAAGGTTCTTAATCTCGAAAGATTCCTGAAGATCATGTATAAAGAAATTCAACAATGTAACGGTAATTGTATATATGCACGTGCTCATGAATATGATTACAATAATTAGATAGATGGCCAAGATAATAAAGGAAATGCTTGTCACCATGATGATTGCACAACTTGCATGAAATAATTCTATATAAATACGAAACATCTCCGACTAAATTCTTTCCATTTTAAATTCCTAGCGCGTATTGAAATGTCAAAGTTTAATCCTCTATATACCATTCTTGTCACAGTTATTGAGGGTTAGTATTTTTTTTAAAAAATTCTTAAAAATCATTATATTCTCAATTTTTAAAATTTAATTCATTTTTAAATAGGTCGATATTTTACACAAAACCCAAATTCGAAGCTCTATGTCGAATGTAGATTTATCGATGATACCCTTTCATTAATCAGTTCTGATTCAAATTACATTTTATTGACCGATACAGTAGAACAAACATCATTTCCAATATGGAATACTGAACTTGCTTGGGAGGTGGATCAAAAAACTTTGCTCATTCTTCGTTCCCAATGGGCACATTTAAAATTACAATGTTTTTCGGTAAATTCATCAGATAGAAGTGAATTGATTGGCTATTCTATGCTGGACCTGAGAACTGCATCGGATCGTCCTGGAAAAGAAAAATGGATTTCTCTTATTAATCCTAGAGTAAGGGGTCTTCATCCTGAAATTTACATCGGATTTTGTATATTACCAAATATGTCACCACCATCGACACCTACTCCTTTAGGATATGTGCCTAGTCCTTTGGGTAAATCAGTTGAAAACCTTTTTGATGTCCAAGATGATGCAATTAATAATGTAGAAGAAAGAAAATACGATAACGATGATTTATATCGAATCGGCACAGATGGATCGGAAATCTTCCTTTTTTCTATTACAATTAATTTTGGTGCTAATTTACACCTGTTATTGCAAGATACTATTTCGTTTATCACGCAGCAGCAGTTTCCCGAAGTCGATGAGCCTGGTCTTTCAACTCATGGTTACTTCTTTCAATATACAATTTTTGAAAGTACAATCACATCAACCAGATTTTATGACCTTACACATCCAAATATAATACCTGAAACGGCAACCTTTCGAATTCTTTCGTCTCTAAAAGATATGAAAGATTTTCTTGAAAAAGAATCTTCTTTAGTTGTTAATTTGTATCATGATGATCAAATAATCGGGTTTTCTGACATTCCCTTGAAAGGCCTTTTCGATTTAAAAACGGGTGAACCACGTTCTTTGGACAGAGTTTGTCCGATTTATAACACTAAAAGAGAATTACCTGTATCAGCAGATGTACAAATTGCAAGGATCGGACTCTACTTAACTCTTAAAAGAGAAAATACAGAAACATTAGTTGACAGTGAGCCATTAACTTCATCTCCAATTACCATTGAAAGATCACAATCAACACTCTCGGAGAATGTGGATCAAGCGCTTACCCGAGAGCAAAATAGCGAACATAAGTATAGCATTTTGATTGTTTTAGAATCGATCAAACTAAATAAGGACATCAAAAACATATTTATTATTTATAGTTATCCAGCGTTAGGTATTTCTAATAAATCAACACAGGTTATTCCGAATGTAGAAGCTGGTTTAGATGTAATATTAGTTAATGGAACTAATGCGATTGATGTTACAATGACTCAGCAGAGACTTAAAAGATATTTTGAAGCTGTACCTTTGCTTATGGAAATATGGCAAAATAATGAACCTAAAGATGTACAAATAGGAGTTGCCACATTACGTTTAGAGGAAGTTTTCTTATCTTTACCTACTATTGATGAAGAAAGCAAAGCAGAAGTTCAAACTTTTACTACTTTAACTCCGATAAAATCTGTAGGCTTAGTCACATCACGAGAAATGGGTCACATAAGTGTTTCCATAAGACTGGATGATCATGGAGAGAAACAAAAAACAATCTTGACAAATTCTAATAGTGGAACTAACTTATCCGAACTTCCCAACGGGACATCACCGGAAGAGTCTCATTCCATGGAAAGACAATCATCATCTCGTTCTTCTACATCATTATCAGTAACGAAAAATGATTGCGAAGGTTCTTCATCATGTATGTCAACATTTCGTTCAGATATATTCCAACAAGCCGAAGAAAACATTAAATTTACTAAAGAAGTACTTGCAGTCGAAAAGAAGAATGCTAAAAATCAAAGTTCACTTAAATCTAAAGTTCAACAACTGAAAGCAATAGATAGACAGTTACAACAATCCATTCTGTATTTTCAAACGCGAGATGAAAGTTTATTAAGAGCCGAAAAAGATTTTGATCGACGTTGGTTGGAACTAGACAGGCAATTTGAACAACGGAAAAAAGAAATGCAATTACAATTTCAAGCGGAAATACAAAACCTTAGAATTCAATTGGACTGTACAAAAAAGGCACAAAAACATTATGAAGCTCAATGGTTAAGAGCTTTACAGATTTTAGCTGGTACGCATGAAACAGAAAGTGAGGAAGCTATGTTTTGGAAAGGATTAAAAGAAACGGATCAATGTTGGTGGCAGGTTAAAAAAATGGCAGAAGAAGAGATCGAAGTTATAGATTATGAAAAGTCTGCGTTGGGTATATTAAAAGGAGAGATTGAAAGATTAAGAAAATCTTTTAGTAGTAATTGATTATTTAATTTTGGGGATTTACATGATTATTTTATTACCTATTATTTAACAAAATTCATTACCACAATAAAATTTGATTTTACTATTATATATGAATCCTTGCATTATTAATATTTGTAAATAATATATCACGACATTTTTTATGCAACAATTTACACAATTATTGACTCTAAATTACTGATAAAGTGTTGTATCTAAATAAGAAAAAAATAATTATGCCATTACTGTTGATTATTATGCATAAATAATATACTTCATAAGAATATTTTCTCATGAGAAAATAAAGTTCATTATTTGTTTTTTTTCCACGATAGAAAAAAGGCAATGTCAGATAATTTTAATCAAAGGGAAGGATTCAATACATTTGTTATGATTATCTTTGTAAATCTGGAGCTCATAAAGCAGCCAAAAATTATCATGATTATCTTCCGAAAGACTATCTTCTACAACTTTTTATCACTGGCCAAGAATCTAACCAAACATATCAATCTTATAATACAACCGTGACTAATATTGATACATCTCGAGTTATTGATGCTGACTCATCACTCCACCACCAATATTTACACCTAATCAAGCTTCAGAAGGTAATTCGACTTCAGATATAACCGAAAAAGACGAGATGAAAATTAATCGTTTGAATTATCAAAAAACGTTAGAATTTGAGAATCTGAAGAATAACATCATTCTAATCAAGAAATGAAAGCTGAACCTAAACCTATTCTTCATAAAAATATCAACGTTGATTCCTTTTGCGACAACACACGATCGATTCCGTATTTTACATATTATCAGATGAAGAACGTAAGGACGTGGATATCAATAAAATCACGGACAATATTATACAATGCACATGCCAACCTTATTCATAATTAATCCTCGACCATTTCACGCAAATGACCTGATCAATCAAGGAAATAATTCAACTCATGAAACAAAAAAAGGAAGAACGGCAACCTTATTCGTCCCACCAATAACACATGATGCACAAGATAATCCGATCTTAACCGTCATCTTTGCCAACTACAATTACCATTGGATGTCTTGAAGATTTTTTTCATGAGTGGTGGATGGTTTTTTTGGAAATTTTTGGTGACAAATACGAACGCCAAACTGGAATTTCATGTCAACATTAAAATTTTTATGTGATAATTATCTTATTATACTGCCTAATGCAAAATGCAAGAATGTTGTGACGTGTTTAGATATCGTTAATAAATAATCGGATATTAGATTATATATACAATATAGTAAGAGATGTAATAATATCTGTTTTTCCTTAACAGAACTAAAGCCATTATTTTTATTAAATATATATATGGCTTTTTGTGATAATACACAGATATTACATAGTTAATATCTAGTATAAAGTACAGATAACAAAATGATAATTAACTGTTATTATAGTAAATAAAGTTCAACCCAATACAGAGATGGGTTTTTTTTTCTTTGACGAATCATACCAATATGTAAGTACCGTCTTTTTTTTCTTTTTTTTTTTTCCTGTTAGAAAAATGTTTTGTTACAAGTAATCCTATCCGATACATGTTTACACAAAAATGTTTGAAATTTATATAATCAACTTTACAACTAATCTATTAAATGGAATCCATTCAGTCATTCTCTCATATACAATGCTTAGTTGAATTTCGTTAGATTAATATTATTGTGTAGGCTGTTGCTGCTGTTGCTGTTGCTGAGGTTGTTGAGGTTGCTGCCTTTGTTGTTGTTGTTGCTGTCTAGCATGAAATACTATATCCTGTGGCTGCATGCCTAAATAGATACAATTGTAATTCGATTTTATTTATTGTTTTCATAATCTTAACATCAGGCTAACCAAAAACTCACCTGGATTAGCAACTTGCGCTGTCTGTAATAATTGCATTCTACGACGAAAGTTGAGTATGTCTGAAGCAGATGGTTGTTGTTGCAGCATTGCGGCAGCAGCAGCCTGATTAACTTGTCTTTGAAGCATTTGCTGTTGCATATTTTGTTGCAAATTTTGTTGCAAATTTTGTTGCTGTTGTTGTTGCAATTGTTGCAACATTTGCATTGTTTGCTGCTGATGTATTTGTTGTAATGCCTGTGACTGCATCATTTGTTGTGTAACCTGAATTGGCTGCTGCTGTTGCTGTTGTTGACGCATTAACATTTGTTGTTGTTGCTGCATTAACTGCATTTGTAGTGTCGGGGCTTGTTGGGTTGATTGCGGTGTTTGCTGTGGCTGTGTTTGCGTTTGTTGTGGCTGAGAAGCAACAGTTACGCTTGTTGGCAATGGTGAGTCTAAGAAAAGTAAACCGACAAGTTTTAACCCTGTTGCCATCGTCCCTGTTGTAAAAAGGACTATTCCTCCGTTTGGATTAGGCGCATGAGAGAAACGTACGAAAGCAGCCTGATGTGATATAATAGAATTGCGTCTCATCATTAATTAATTTATTATATTCAATGTAAAAACGACGATGCTTACCAATTTTTTACTATCCAAAATACGCATTAACACCATAAATGTACTATGATTGTCTTGGGATGCTTGAGATGCTTGGGGGTTTGGAGTTGGCAGAAATGAAACAACATGAGGTTTTGGATTTTGTACAGCTGCAACATCTCTCATAAAGTCTTTCGCAAGATTTATACTGGAGATTTCCATTTTATCAGGCCAAATCTGTCTCATGCTAATAAATTTGTTTATTCAACAGATCAGAAACGGATATAAATCATTAAATTAAAATAGGTAATAATTAAAAATTCCTTACTAATCATTTATAGAATATGGACCAGTTTTTCGTTGATTGCCAGGAAAAGCAGTCACATGACAAGTAAGCTCGCGTTTTAGTCCAGTCTGTTGACTATTGGCCGACCATGCAATATGACCACTCCACAATGCGTTTACTTTCGGAGGCATATTCGGGAGAACTTGATTAATATTTGTCCCTAATGATACTGGAGGTTGCCCTACTGATGCACTGGTTGTGCTAGCAACTTGTATCTGGGCACCATTGTGACTCGAAGAGGCACTAGTACCAATAGAGTTAAGATTTGTAGAAGCCATAGTTTTTGCGGGAATTTGGACCCCAAGTGCTGAAGCTACAGATGTTCCGACAGTCGTTGTAGATATCTGTCCGCCTTGCGTCGATGTTGGTATGCTTGGTATATTAAGAGTTGGCGCAGAAAAACTAGTACTTGCAGTACCTAAAGTTTGTGGGTTTACGGTTCCTCCAACGGTGGGTGATGTCACAAAACAATTTATGGATTGTGCGTCAGAACTGAGTGCAGAAGGTGATGTCACAAAATTATTTATAGATTGCGAGCCGACAGTCACACGAGTAGCTGAATTATTTTGCCCCAATTGAGTCATCTTACTTCTCATTATAGCATCGGCAAGATTTTGTTGACTTGCAGCCAATTCATTCTGCAAAAATTGATTTTGTTGCCTCAACATTTGTTGCGTAGTATTATTTGCTACTTGTGTTCTAAGCAGCTGTCCATTTTGGCGTAGAGCTTGAGTATTATTAGCTGCCGCTGCTTGCGCCATTGTTATGAATTGACTACGTTGTTCTGGAGACATTGCATTCCATTGAGCCTGAAATTGAGCCTTCATAGCAGCAGCAGGAAATCTTGGTCCCATGGGCATTTGAGGTCGCATGGGTTGAGTGCCTGGAATTGGTATTGGTTGTTGTTGTATTGGTGCAGTACCTACTGGAGGAGGATGTTGAATTTGTATTGGCGTCGTTGGTTGTACAGACGGTTGTGTTTTTGCAGCATGTCCGAGCGCATCTTGTGGGATTGTCATTTGTGGTTGTATATTATTTATTGATGTCGAAGCCTTTGGAATTGTAGGATTAGATGCTTGAGATGGTTTAGAAGACGGTGGTTGTATAGGTTTAGCAATGGTCATAGATTCTTTTGGATTAGATGGGGTCTCCGTGGGTAGCGATTGTTGAACCGTTGAATTAGGCAATTGTTCGTCCGGTATTTCGAGTTTAACTCTTTTGCTTTCAGGTGATGAACTGGTCAAAGTTGATGATGGTGACTTGTCGTTATTGCTTGTGTCATTTGTTGATGTTGAAGTTTCACATTTCCTTTTTTTGTCAGATGCCGCTAATATTGGCAACACATTCAATTATTAATTAATTTATAATTACATGGAAAAAACCCCGATAAATTAACTTTAAGGAAAATTTACCTTCATTTGGTTGCGAGAATGTAAGTTTGAAATTAGCCAACTTTACGACATGTGAAGGAATTATGACCTCGGTAGCATTATGAACTTCTACATCTTGATTAACCTAAAAGATAATAATTAATGTATTAAAATATAAAAAAGAAACTAATAAAAAAAATCTTTAACGATGCATTGACATTACCTTATCAACAAGGTTTTCTAGCTCTGGAAAATCCCTTTCCGGCGTTATTAAAGAGAGATAAATGCATTGCTAAGGTAACAATAAATAGAAGTTATTAAGACATATAATGTATAAATGGACAATCATTTTATATTAGTTTATATGTATACTTGCCTTCTGCATCTCTTCCGCTATTTGTTGAATATTAAATTCATCGTACTTACTACTTATATTACGATGAACAGGATCAGGACAAGGATGGCTATTGGACACAAGAATGCAATGTCTTTTCGGTTGTGGTGCATCGGGTTCCATTTGTGATTTATGTAAGTCAAACATCTCGAAGAAGAAAAAAGAATCCTTAACAAACTGTGCGATATATATACACACACAGATAAAGTATAGTCTATTTATTATTTCATTACCTCAAGAGCTGCGACTAAACCTTCAGCTACTGCGTTTTCATATATGCCCCCATTTAAAAACTCTATTTCAGATATTAGCTCATCGAACCGCGTAAAACTTTCAAAATAATGAGATTTTACAGGTATAGTAGAATATGGTTCATAATGACCAAAGGTAACGAGACCACACTTCAAAACGGGCTATATTCAAAATGATATAATGATGTATCTGCTTTCTTATTCTGACTATTTGCATTTAAAAAAAGTATGTTGAGTTACAAACTCACCACTTTTTCTTTCTTTTCTTTATCCTCCTGTTCCCTAACGTATGGAGCTTTTAGGTGTCTACATTTATAGGTAAATACACAAAGTTTTTTTTTAATCTAAGTAATAAGTTGGCTACAGATAAGTTAGATCCTAAACCTCATAATTCCTCAAATTTTTAGATAAAGGCAGAAAGTGAAAACCTTTAACGGTCTTTGAACACTGTTCCGATACATAACCGAAGTTATATATTATATCCTTACTTTAGTATCGGCCTCAAATAAGTTCCAAAAATAGTTTCATAATGGTCTTCTAATCGATATGTTGCATCTAAGACAACTACAACTAGACACTCTGGTGGTATAGTGCTTTTACCCTTCTGCGTCATAGAAGTATATAAGCGCGCGAATAATGCTTAAAATTAATAACCGATAGCAATAAACTTCGGCGAAACAGTCAAAAAAAAAAGGCAAAAATGTATGAATTGTGATAAAGCCGCACACAGGTTGTGCTATTTTATAGATTCAACTAAAAAAACTAAAAAAAAACCTGAATGCACTGCACTCTGCCTAAACTAATAGAACTTCCATATAAAATGTAGAATGGAAACTAAAGGTTGTGGTACTACATAACGTTTACAATTTATTGTGCACAAGTGGCAATACGAACTTCCTTATTTGTTCTTTTAACAATGCTCTTAACACAAATCCGATGACTAAGTCACGAGTTGGCCTTCTTCACTACCCAAGCCCACTTTAGCACGTGATGATGTGATATTCTCGTTCGTTCGCATCACACCTAACTTCAGGATTCTTTGGTGTTACATGTAAGATACAGTGGCTTAATGCTTATTTATACCTATCAATGATCGAATTTAAATTGATATAATATTAATAAAAACTTTTTGGGTGTTGTGGGAATACAGATTTAGTAAGATGTTAATTTTCTTTGGCAAAAAGTGTTATGAAATGTACAGTAAAACCCACTGCGGACGTGTACCTAAACTCCGTTACGGCAAAATGAATTTTATGAAAATTTTAATCTAATATATTACGCAATTATAGTTTGTCATGGCAGGTTTAATGAAATATATCCTTTATACGTATGTAGGATCCTACTCTTATTTAGATATCTGATATATACATATAAAATTATACTGATAATTTATGTAAATGATAAAATTGTGTTAATTATCACATGGTATATAAAAACATATAAAAATTGATTTTTTTAATGGTTGTAATATCTGACAACCAATTTTTTGTTCCCGGTTAGTCCCATCACTAGGCAAAACTAAAGATTAAATTCAATACAAAATCTTTGATAAGAAATTTTGTACAATTTTTTTTTTAGTTTATATACTAGTCTTGTTTTTAGATTTGACTCTATAGTAACAAATTTGATCTAAATAGTTAAAATGAATTTTGCTTGCACCCGCGGCAATATCGCTATTTCTCAAGAATGGCCTAGTTAATTGGTGTCTGATGCACTAAGTAAAAATGTTCGGTCTCTAAAAAAACCTTAGCCAACCCTCTAAAATTTAGTTTTATATAGCTGTAAAATTTTATAAGCGTTGCTAATTTATCCCCTATTATAACTTAACGACGGCCTAAATAACCATGTTTAATACACTAAGTAAAAATGTTTAGCACTATAAAAAGCATTATTCTAGTCTTAACTCTAATCCTAATCCTAATTTTAACTTTATTTTTAGATCATTTTTAATTTATACCGGGGGATATTAATATCCGAGGTGCTATAACTCAAAAAACCGACTAAGAAACAGGGTTAGGTGCACTAAGTAAAAATGTTCAGAACCTCTCCAAAATCTTATATAATCTAAATTTTAATTATTATATCTGTCTTTATTGTAGCATAAAACTGCATCCTAATCCTAAATTTTAATAAAAACTATTATATCTCAAAAAACTGACTAAGAAACTGGGTTAGGTTACTGAGTAAAAATGTTCAGAACTCTCAAAACCTTGTATAATCTAAAATTTGAACTATTATATTTGATCTTTATTTTGGTATTAAATTGTACTTCCACTCTAAATTTTAGCAAAAACTATTTTTTATACTATATCCTATCATGAATAAGCACCCACATTGAATATAGTAGTGGGTGCTATTCATAATCAGCACTGTCTAAAAGTTTATCAAAATTTTATCTCATATGATATTCTGCTAATTAAACTATAGAAATAAATACAATGGGGTGCTTATTCATAATCAACAATTTTTGTTATATAGGATGCTTATTTGCAATAGATGTTTATTTATGATAGGATATAGTAATAAAATTGGAGACATATTTAGATATAAACAATTTTTAGTTTGCTTGATATTTTCTATAATAATTAATAAGTTATAAAGGCAATCATTAAATCATGTAGATTTAAATTTGCGAACTTTAGTCTTTATATATAGACAACTTTATGTAACTTTTTTAAGATATACTTTTTTTTATTTACTTAAAATTTTTTTTTATCAGATAATACTAAGTGTTTAATTCTTAATATTGTTTATCCTGAAGTATTATTATATAATTGGTATACTTAAATATTTGAAAGTTAAATTTTTAGAATTAATATTAAAATAAGATTTTTATTTATTTATAAACAAATTAATATTAATAATATAGTAATATATAGAACTTAATTAATATAATTAATAAAAAATACTTAGTAAATTTTGTTTATTTTATAAAATTTTATAATCTATACTAATTTTTATTATTATAAAATAATAATATTCAATATAATATATATGTAATTACATCAACTTTTCCTAACTATTGCTTATACCAGAACTCTCTAAAATACATACTGAGGGGTAAGATTTTATAAAAATTACTAAATATAAAAAGATCTATAAGAAAAAGTTAAAAATAAGCAAACTAATTACTATAAATAGAAATAATCTGTACAAAAAAACAAAAATAAACAAACTCTAATCTGATCTATTTATATATATTTTAGAGTCATCTTATACCAACTTTTTACCAAAAGCAAGTTGAAGACTCAAGACTAGAAGTTAACAACAATTTGAAATTTTTTTAATAGAACTGTTATCAGTGAAATCTTTAAATATAATATATTAAGAAGTAGACATTTCAAACAGTTTGTAAAGTCAAGCCTTGTTTTCTGCTATCTCTTAAATAAACTCTTCTTTGTGTTTAGTATCTAAACTAGAAGAGTTTTTAGAAACAGCAAGTAGAAAAAAAAACTGAAGATTGCTTAAAGATAGAAGATAATAAAGAATTCTTAAAACAACACTCCTTAGTTAAGAAACTCACAAAAACACAATAGCTTCTCACTATTATTTGGCTCTAAAATTTTTATCAAAAAGTAAAGAATTCAGCAAACCCCTCTAAAAAATTAGCATTATTTATTACTTTTATATTAGAAAACTAGATAATAACAAATAAATATATATAATTTAGTAAATACTCATAAGTTATGTGGAGTTTAAAATTCTTAATTCATAATGGTTCCCTTTATTAAACCTGATTGGTTAAATCTACAAATTTCAGTATCATCCATCTTAGCATCATTAATACAGTTAAATAACGCTTTCATATTGTTGACAACTTTAAATGTTCATATTAAATCTGTTGCCAATTTTGATATATTTGCGTTTACGTGAAGATTGCACTAAGCTATCAATAATATATAAAATGCCTTATACTTGGTGGTTGAAAAAGATCTGGCAAAATAATATGCAACAAATTTTTTCTGTATTTAAGAATAATGACTAATGCTAAATTATTCGTTCATTTAAACAAATGCTATAAATACCAAGATGATCTAAATATTATTTCACGGTAGACGATCATTCGCAGAGTGAAAACTTATTTCCAGATCTTTTTTTTCACACACTAACAAATCAATAATGAATAAATTAACAAATTAAAAGTACAGTGCAATATATAATTATCTTTTCTAAATAAAAAATTTAGTATCAGTATTAGACCTAAGGTTCTTTGCTGAAACTTGCAAATTAGCAACTTTAAAGCTATATTAAAATAACTATAAAATAACTATGTAGTTATTTTGTAGTAGCTATAGTTTTATATTTACTATATGTTAGCAATACACCTACTACTATTGACTACTACGTTACTACTATGCTACTACTATTTTACTATACTTTTACTATAATTTACTATTAGTG